ATTCTGTGAATCCTGCTGCTCAGCATCGTTCATGACAGACGAGCAGCCAATAATGCCATCTACAAAATCGCACACTTCGCGCTCATTCGATCCTGCCAGCGCGTCAAAAACAGATACTTCCTCCAGCCAGAGAAGTTGGTGAATATGGGGAGATCCTTGTCGTTGAAATTCCACTCTGTACTATGAATGAGCAATATTCCTTTCCCCAAATGGACCACTGACTAGGTTCCAAAGTTTTGTTTGCTCCTTGTAACGACAATCGAAGCATCGAGTGCATGTAATTGGGTCTGATTGAATTAGTCGCGATTTTTCAGCGTACGGCAGAGCAAGTGCTTCGTCTGCAATGACAGATTCATTGTCTACAACTTTTTTTAAAATCTTAACAGTTTAGACAGCTGAGTCTCGGCTACTGAAATGGTTAAGAATGTTAGATAACCAAACTGTATAAGCATTGCCAGTACCTTCAGTTTCTCGTTATGCCAATGCGTACAAGAGTTTCGTACACCGGCGAGAGCTTGGATGCGTCATCGTGTTGCACTAGCCCATGGATGAAGCCGTGACTGGTGAGACTGGCTGCGCTGATGTCATTACGATTACAAATCCTTTTTTCCGGAGGCATAAGAACATATTACTGAATAGTCTGAGCAATTCAGCCTTTTTCGCCATAAAAGGCAAATAATCGGGACGTCGTGCTCCTCGTCGATCATAACACATTGCAAAAGATTTGGAGATATCCGCATATGGCACTGGTCGAGCTTGAAAAGTGGGTTGCAGTTTCTTGTCACCAAAAATTGTTGGAAATGATAAATATTCCGCATCTTCGTCCAAAAGAAGCGAAAGAGGCTTATACCCTTCAGCTGGTACTATCCTTATACCGCACTGACTATTATCTGTCATTAAAATCGTTTCTTGCACATCCAGGTTAATAGGCTCTGCTTCTTCTATGCCTTCATCCTCTTCCGGTTCCTCCAGTTCTACGTTTGCATCTGCAACCACTAACTGGTTGTGCTGTTGCAACCAGTTGTCTGATATATCAATATTATGAGACTGGTAAAAAGGCTGATTTGAAAGATATCTAGCAATTTGCCACACAAGATGTGGTCGTACGTTACCTGAAATATAATTACTTCTTACTGCATCCATCGCGCCATGCGAACGTGTACGATATGAGTGCCTGTTGGACGACAAGGTAGCTTCGGTACTGTAGTATCTACGGAGACGGGGACGTTAACAATCCCAACTCTAGATCGGAACTGTCCTGTGAGACCAAATGAAGGCCAAATTGTTTGGAAGATATGGCGAGCCGCTACTAGTCTCTCTTCTAACCTTGGCAGACCACTAACCATTTCAGGCACCGAGGGAAAATCTAATCCATTTGAAAGGCAGTAACGAGGCTGTTTCTACTGTCTAATGCTTTCAGCACAAGTTGAGCAAAAAGACCCTTCATCCTTGTGAAATAAATAAAAAGTGCGATTTATAAGGTCCATCCGAGCTCGATTCTCATTGGCTGCTTGCAAAAGATTTGACTTAGTAAGCTTTATAATGGAACGTATGAATACCAATCGACCACAACAAACACAAACCTGGGTTGGGCCCTCCTTGATAGCACTTTTGTACATAACTACACCACTCGCATAACTGTTCCTTTGTTCTTGTCGGGCTTCACAATTCTTAATTCGTTCTTGGGCTCGCACCTTTGCCACGCTTCTCCGACGTTGCATTCGCAAAGCGTTTTCTTTACACTCTCTTTCCCTTCTTCAAACAGATTTCCGGACTCGCACTGCCTCGCTGTTTGCCTCTCTTCCCCCTTCTCTGAATTCTGAATCAACAGTTCTGCGACTTTTCATTGCTTCAGAATTCATTTCTTTTTCCCTATCTCTGAATTCTGAATCAACAGTTCTGCGGCTTCTTGTTTCAGAATTCATTCCTCTTTCCCTATTTCTGAATTCTGAGTCAACATCTCTTCGATCCCTCATTGCTTCAGAATTCACTTCTCTTCCCCTTTCTCTGTATTGCGAGTCAGTATCCCTGCGGCTCCTCATTGCTTCAGAATTCACTTCTCTTTCTCTTTCTCTGCATTGTAAATTAGTATCCCTGCGGTTTCTCATTGTTTCAGAATTCAGTGCTCTTTCCCTTTCTCTATACTCCAAGTCGACATCTCGCCGAAGTTTTATAGTAGCTGCGTTTGCCACACGCTCAAAATTTCTATATTCTTCCGTTTGTCGATAAATTCTCATCCTGAAATTGCTAAGGACTCTTTCTCTTTCAAACCCCTTTTAGACGGCTCCGTAGACTTTTTCTCCGCTCACGCCAGTAAACGATACCCAAACGTTTACTGAACATTACCTACGGTTTCAATAGAAGCGCTCATTCCTCACGATGCAACGCTAAATAGGACCGATCCGTTCGAATTCGGTACAGGGATCTTTGGCATCCTCTTCTCGTAGAATTCTCATTGCCTCGAGATTTGCCTCCCTTTCTCTTTCTGCGTATTCTAAGTCACTTTCCCTATGCAATCTTATTGCTTCCGAATCCGTACTCTTTCTTCTTTATATTCCAAATCCGTGCATTCTCTGCCTACCTCTTTCTGTGCGGTGACTCACGTTCCGAGCATTCTCTGCCTATCTCTTTCTAGTTAGCTAACTTCCCTTCCACTGGCAGTGTTCGCGAAAGAACACCTGCTGCGGTGATGATGAAGAGAAAAAAAGAAGGACACTGCAACCGATTGTTGTTGTTTGCGTGCTTTCCTGAAATGCGATGATTGCTCGAGGCCGTCGGTTCAAAAACCCAACTTTGAGCGGCGAGACTGCATTGCTCCACTATTCGTATTTCTCTTCCTTTCCCTGTATTAATGGTCGGTTGCCCTACGCAACTGCACAGACCCACTGTTGGCTTCCCTCTCGCTCTCGTAAGCCGGATCAGTTTCACGCCGCAACTGCATTGCTTCAGTGTTTGCATCTTTCTGTGTATTCGAAATCAGTGACTTTGCGAATCCTCATAGCTTGCGCGTTCGCAGCCATCTCTCTTTGTCTGCAGTCTTCTACCTGCTGCTTCAGCCGCATGCACTCTGCTGCTTTTCTTGCTTCAGCCTCTTTATAAGCTGGATTGGTTCTTGGAGTGCGTTTTGCAGTGGCATCTCTCGCTCGTTCAAGCGCCCAATAGCTGTCTTGAAGCACTGTGCAGAAGTTCACATCTGCAATCATTACATAAGTTCAGTGAGTATCACACATGTAAAGAACATAATAAAACGACTAGGAACTCTACTTTGTCTTACCCGAAGGCCTTTGATCCGTTGAATCACTTCTGCTTGATTCTCCACAGTCGGTTGTTCTTGCCGCTCCACAGAAGATCGCCTGTGACACTGTGGAACGTTGAGCCTCCACGTCGCAGCTCAGTGGTTCATGCTGGCTTGAATGCGACATTCGGCGCCGACGTTTTCGCTCAGCATCAAGTTGCCGACTTCTTTCTCGGCTGATTTGCCTCTCTGACTCAGTTAGCTTTCTTCTGGGCATGACTTCAAATGCATAAGCGAATCTTAAAATATCAATTTATAATGCAGTCGCCAAAAATGTGCGTGAGACAATATTTCTGGTGCACGTATGGAATGGAAAGAAATGGGCTTATCGGCAGAGAGGGTAATGAATCGGTGTAAAAACTAGTTAACATTTGAAAATGGCTGGAAGAAAAGATGTCCATGTTAATCTAGAAATTTTTCCTGAATGACATTGATTTGGAAGTCTCGGGCGGTATAAAAACAAAAATTGTCAGATCCATTTAGTAATCTGTTATTTCAGTAGGGAGAAGAAGTGTAATCTAAAACGAAGAGTTGCTGCATATGGCAGAAGCTCAAATTCGGGTGTTTAAACACTATAAAATCCAACAGACTCTCAAACTTCAACGTCTGCCCCAAGCGCTATCTTAGCAAAGTTGAGATACTATTGGTAGGGAGCGCGAAGGGAAGGACGCCAATGCGAGTGTTGGAAACGGAAGAACGACGGACGGGAAACTGGAATACTAGCTGGAACTGAGCTGGAGACAGGAAGAATGAAGTAGAATGAGAGTAACAAGGATAGGGGCAAGAAAAAGGGCGGGGATTTGCTGGACGGTTTAATTAGAAACGAATATTTTGCAGATTCGCGTGGACAACTGTACCGATATGTTTGTCTTTAAAGTCAAATTACACTGTTAATTTATACGCAAAAATGTACCGGATATACAAAAGAAGAAATACTGTAACAAAATAGTGACAGGTATGGATAATAAAAAAAAGAGCACGGTTGGACTGGAAGCCGCTCTGCTCTGGTGCTAGAATAAGAAATAAAGGTTGAAAAAATTTGTCCCGGCATCTAAAAGGAGTGCCTGAGTGTGTCTCGCTCGTGGAAGAAGGGTATCGTAAAATTATGTAAGATGGTAATGACCTAGACATATGCAAGAGATCGAGAATGACAACCCTGAAGTATAAAACTGTCCATATGTGCCATGACGGGTCATCTGCGTAACTAAGTGAAAAAGGCCGCTGCGATTAACTTGTAAGAAAGTGAAAGAGTTTATGATCTACGATGGGTATGACATACCTATACGATCGTTGCTAACACAATGAAATTGAATTTGACCCGGACTACAGCCGGTCTTCTAATAATTGACAGCAGACAATGAAAAATGTTGTTCACATTAAAGGGGTTAATACAACTGCCACGGGGCAGTGTTTGTGAAAAGAAAAAGAAGTTCCCCATGCGAGGCAACTACTTGGAGGAAAAGGCTATTGTTTCAAGCGCTAGGAGTAACCAAGCTCATCCAGTGAGTTCCCTCACTCGCAAAGTGCCGTTGTGAAGAATTATTTATGAAAAACTGCTAAGGGCCTGGCCGCAGTAATTGTAAAATTTCACGCATCCGTACATAAGAAGTAGCCCACGACATAGCTGGCCGCGATAGCTGGTTTGTATGTTACAAGATAACAACATAGTCAAAAATTACGATGCAAACAGTATGAGCTTTTAAATTGGGCAACTACTACAATCCGGCTCGGCTCGGTTGGTGGTCGTTGGCGCTTGGGAAGCCCTCTGTCATCTCTGGCAACGGTGTTTCGTGGCGTCGCTCACCGGGATCGTTTGGCACTCTGCCAGAAAAGCGGGGCAAAGTTATCCAGGTCGCAGTGGCTGTATGGCCTGACTGGTGGGAAGGTGGGATAGAAGAGGGGCAGCCGTGGTTGTGGGGGTGCATGGAAGGGTGGACGGCGGTTAGTGGATGTGCTAATGTCTTTTCCTCCCCCCTCTCTCTTCCTAAGCACCAATTTTCCCATTTCCTCTCCCCTCCTGTTAGTGAGAACTGAGAGTAGTGAGCGACCAAACTCACCCCCGCCATTCAGCCTCCTAAGCCTCACCCTCTCCCCCTCCCCCCTGGTACTGAGGACTGAGGGCAGTGGGGGACTAAATTCGCCCCGCCACTCAGTCTCCTAAGCCGCACACCCCC